CTGCAGCAGCAGCACCGAGTGCGTGAGAAACTGCTCACAGGAGGAAGGCACGATGATGAAGGACCCATCCCCAAACTTCCCTAACAAATGAACTTGGAGCCTCCTGGCTAGAAAAGGCTAGAAAATTAGCTGTGTATGCTTCACAGGTATTTCTGTCTGCTTTTTCTAATGAATCAAAGTGTTTTGAGCTCTGCCTCAACAGACCTGTATAAATCTGTTAATGTGCTTGGAAACTTGAACACAAATATTGTTTAGAAGGTGTCTCACACTGGAATAGTTCCTTTATATGCCAAGGGTATTATCTGATCCACCCAGGACTGGGTAGGAAGGGCTATTTCCTGCACATGTGGTAAGAAAATCCAGCTATTCCAGGCCCCAGGAAAATTACATGTTCCCACGTAAAGAATCCGGCTTCCTTTCCTTAGATCTGTTTTCTTTTCCTCACTCTATAAAGCAAAATTCCTTTAAAAGAACCACCCTAATGGCTTTCTATGTTGATATAAACCAAAAAGCATTAATGAAGGAATAGAACATGAAAATTTGTATTTAACTACTGATTCTCAGCAGAGATGAGTACGATGAGCCACTTCAAACCAAGAGCAGGAAAATATCCACAGTGGCCTTTCACACCATGCAGCAGCACGTCAAAGTTTCAGCCTCACAGGAGGCTTTCATCCTCATAACCTCCACAAGGGAAGTGCTATTGCCTGCGCCCTACAGATCACAAACTGATACATGATGAATTCTCCAAGTCATAAAGAAAAGAAATGATTGAGGAGGGAGCTCAGCATGGTCTCCTGAGAGCCAGGCCACAACCAGGCGATCCCTCTTGCATGAAAAATTCAGTTAACTTTGAAGACACCCACAGTTCATCAGAAAAGATCAGACAAGTTGTTTGAATACCACAAGAAGGGCTTTTATTGTGCTGGATATGTAGATAAGAATCCATTTACAAGAATTTGAATAGACAGGCTTGCACACTTCAGGAAAGGGAGTGCTGCACATCACCAGTCACAGAGAGGGATCAATATCCTACAGCAGAATTAGCAGGCACAGCTTCATACCAGTTAATAAGGCTGGATTGTTTTTTTGTCAGGACCATTCTTATTCCTTTTCCCTCTCCTTTCAATGGAGGATAACAGGCTGGGATTGAACAAAACAATTACAAAGCAGCCACACTGTTAGGAAAAGGGTTAGGAACTTGGTCTCGGGAAGGTGAGGCTGTGCAGCACCCGGGGAAGTTGCTCTTTCCCTTTATGCTTGTGTGTCCCACACCTCAAAGAAGGCAGGGTGGGCTGGGATATCCCACAGAGTCCCACGTAATGCCAGATTGGTGGCTCCTGATTAATGTTTATTAATCTAATCTTTAACTGATGTGTTCATCTTAGCCCAGAGTGATTATCTCAGTTATGTTTGAGTGAGTATCTCAGTTATGTTTTCCTTTGGAGATGTAGGTGTGACTGTGAATAAAGAATTTCTTAATTCTGCTTAAGTAACATCTAATGAAACATAATTTTTATAAAGATGGTTGTGATTATAGTTTAGTGTGAATGATGCAGTCATCTTTCAGCCACTTTCAAAGATGAAACAGTTAAGGACAATGAGTAAATACACTAATTATAGTTAATAAACAGCAAGGATCCTGCTGGTCTTCATGCAGCCCCTAATGATGCAGAAAAGTTTTGGAAGAGCTTGGCAGGAAAGGGTTATCTTTTTATGGACTTATTTATTTTTCTGAGAGGCATGGAGGGAAGAGGACAGTTGTGAAGGTGAACAGACATGTGGGAGACTGGTGCTGTAAGCATCTTTCCTAACCAAAAAGAAACATCCATCCTAAAGTAAGAAGTTTTGGAATATTTCCCAGTAGAAGCTAAAGTCTTTCAGACTTTATATTTTCTGGGTTCTTTGACTCTCAGTGGTGGACTGAAACTGGCAAGACTTTGTAAAAATCATACAAATATGATTTCTTTCACACACACATGCCCCTTTGCTAACTACAGGTCACTTTTTTTTCTGGAAGTTTGCCAAGAGGATTTTCTCATTCCTTGTTCTTGCCTTCCCCAAGGCTGCTAAAGATGATAGTCTTTTAGATAACAGGGAAATGGTATGCACCATTATTTCTATATTCTTGCTTTTATCACTTGCGGGAAAAAGTACAGTTAATCTCTTGAAGTTAAATCAGCAGACAAACATATTGCAATTCAAAGTTAATCACTGAGTAAAACTTTTTGCATTGTGCCAAGCACAATGCAAAAATCAAGAAGACAAACTTCAACCCAAATGAGAGGTATTTTCTACAACAAAATTCCTGCCTTAAGATCAACAAATTATTTTAGAGAGTTGGCTAAACCACTTGGGTCACTGGAGATTTTGTTACATTCAGCTGTGCATGGATGAAAAGGGCTACATTCACACTTGCTTTCCTTCCACGTTGTCCAAAAGCCGCTTCAAATTTGGCTCAAGTGTGAAGAGTCAGAGCTCACGTCATGGCAGGCCAAGGGTCCCGCTCCCTTGCCCTCTCACAGCCTTCTGCAGCACCTCTTAGGTGCGGGCGCTGCGCGGCACATGTCAAAGTATTTATGACTGGCTGAGGTTACCTATAAAGTGGGCCTGCTGGGGCTTTTGTCAAGCCTCTAGGTTAGCAGATACGGGCTTTAGCTCATTTGCCCTTTCTGTTGCAGCACTTCAAGTAATTCCTGATTGTTTTTGTTCCTTTTTCATGCAACTTCACATCTGCCGTCAGCAAGATGTTACTGTTGATGGGAGTCGGGGAGTTACAATGCCAGCGCTGCTAGCTGATCTTGAACTTTCTCCCCAGTGGTTTTCTGTTTGCCCGCTGACCGAAACCTTCTTGAACCTGCCGAATATGTGACGACCTTTACGCTTTCTCAAAATCAGAACCTTAGCAGCCGAGGGGAAGCGCCCCGGGGTGCCCATGCCGCGCTGTCCCTCGCAGCGCTTCTCCCACGGCAGGTGAGGCCGCTTCGTCCCGCTCGGGGCCGGAACCCACGGCAACGGCTGCGGCAAACAGAGCCGCAGCAGCCCCGCTCGGGGCGGCGGGGGACGCGCACCTTGCGCCCGGCACGGCACGCCCGGGGGCAGGGCACGCCCGGGGCCAGGGCCGGGGCTGGGGCCGGGCCAGGGCTGGGG